TCGTGCACGAAGTGCGTGTCCAACTCGCCCGCGCGCAGCGTCACGCCGCACACGGGGCAGCATGACGGGTCCGTCGAGAGCTTCTTCTTCCCTGCGGGGCACAAACGACACTGTCAGAGCTCGAGCGCACAGGTACGAGGTCCCACGAACGTCACGCGCGAAACGTCCATTTGTCTTTCGACGCACCACCGGCCAGGGGATCTTGTGTCGCGGTTCTGAGGTCTGCCTCGGTGACTATCATCGCGCTGCGTCGCAAGCCGGACATTTACACAAGAAGCGCTTCAATGCAGTGTGCGTCCTCGAATCTTTGTCCTACAGTTCTTACAACTAAACAAGTACTGACGTTAACTTTGGACTCTAAATCTTTAATGGTGAAACAAAATTATCAGATATGTCATATTCTTATGCGTATGCTAAAAGCACATCAAAATGCATACCTATATGTTTAGCGCAGAGGCGGGGCTAGTTGCCACTAGGGTGAACTGACTATGTACATATACTTGCAGTTGCCAAAGGCTGAGGTCAAGTGAAGCTCTAAGTGTAAGAAACTATTAAATATGTCAACTAAATATTGTATGGAAATTTGTATTTTTTCAATTAATAGTTAAATCCAATTTCATTTTATCTTAATTTTTGCAAAAGTTCAATTCCTCTGTAATAAGACAATTATTGCTAGTATTTTCTATGTATGTTTCAAGGAACAAACTGACAGGAAGTTCACGTATCGTAATTAATGTAATACTTGGTCGTGATTTGTTCCGACATATGCGCAAACTTTTTCATTCTGAACACAGTAAAAAGAATCTCTCGATTGCATGAGATCATGTGTTTCCATAAACACTAAGAGGGAATGATATTTCATTTAAAAACTGAAAAAATATTTGATTACCAAAACTGAAGAGTTGAACTATGCCAATTCTGAAACGGACCAAGTATCCCAATTCAATTTTTCAAATATATTAGTTTTTATGAGGAACATTTGTTAGTATTCTTGCAACCATACGTAAGTAAACGACACAAGAATTACTACATTTCTGCAATATCTCCAATTTTTAGTTTTTCAGACTTGGCAGGTTTTGAAACTCAAATGGGTGAGTGGGCGTACATCCGCTTCCACATGCGTGTGGAAATATATGCATATGTATACATACTACATACTTATCGCACCTCCAATAGAAAAGTGACATAGGTGCGAAATCGTCATTTTTGCAGCTAAAAGCTGATAAAAGGTTACCAAGAGGTACTGCTACTACTCTGAAGTTGATTTTGAATTAGTTCAATTACTGTCCGCTAGAAGGTGAATATTTGGCACAATCTATAACAAGTAGTACAGAACTACGAAACTTAAAATTACAATTTCTGAGAAATTAAAAATTCGCACTTGTGTCACTTTTCTATTGGAGGTGCGATATATTATACATGAATGTGGGGAAGACATTTTGGAGCTCAACAAAACAAATGCAGATTGTACTTGCACTCCATACGTAGCATACAAATTTTACTATTATATAATGAAATAAATCAAATTAAATCATGCACACAGGTGTCTCATAAATATAACTTCATTATCTGAGCACGTCAACGTTAACAGAATACACTTTTTCCCATAATAAATAAATTAATAAATAATGTTGCAAACCTCTAAAGCATGCAGAGGGTCTCGCATGATTTTTTTTTTTTGCCAAAGAACTTGAAAAACTGCATATAATGGACTTATATCTACTAAAGTGTGAGATTTGACCTACATTTGTAGGCAACCCTATAGACACAGATGTTAGGTAGGAACCTGAAATCTCCTTAACTGAGTCAGAACGTGACCTGTCGAACATTTGTGCATTAGAAATAACCTAAAAATCACGAGCACATGACATGTATAAATCACACCTATTACACTATAAGTTGTCAAAAATTGAACACTTACGACGCCCTAGATGTTTGTAGCATTTATTCTGAGACCCCTGTACACATTCACACAAATCCAATACAAATACATATAAAGTATCGTAAAACTTGATACCAAAATAATGACAAACTCCATATCAACACATAATAGCAACAAATATATCAACGAGTCAACGAAACATGGATATTTCGGGTGATAAATATACTCTTACTCGCTGACATTTGAAGTCTCAATGTAAGAATCTATTCTAAAATTGACATATCAAAAAATAAGTTCTGCAAAACTACAGAAGAATGAAAAATGAATGATGATTGTTTCTTTTTCAACGTTGATGATAAACAAAATTCCAAAGAATGCATTTTTACTGGCCAACATCTACGAGAAATCGATACAGAAATAGATGTTCAACCTTGAAAAAAATACCACTGCCAACACGAAGGAACAGAAGACAAGCAGCACTGGCCGTTGTACTCCCACGAATAAAACTAAGCAAGGCAGAAAATCAAAAGGAAGAGACGTTGGGATGTGTAACAAAAGAGAATGACTCGAGCAGAAAGAGTTCCAAAATAGTTTTAAAATATGAGAAAAAAATACACACTGGTGAGACTGTAAAGAGATGTCAAGGGCGCTTGTGCAACATGGCAGGTAAAAGTCCAACTAAATGAAAGGAGGAGTAAATGGGCAAAGAGGCGGTCCGGATAATCGGCCCACGTTATTCTATCCCGCGTGTGTGTACGCCGATCGTGTTGAGTCGCGGGAGAGAGAGAGGCAGTGATGCCTCGGGGACAAGCCCGCAGCGCCGCCGCCCGCCCCCGCGCTGCCCAAACATCGGGCAGCCGCCACCGCCGCCACCACAACGCGAGGCGCGGGGCGCGGGGCGCAGGCGGCTGAGAAAACGGAGGAGCAGTGTGCTCCGAGGCAACCAGAGCAAACGTTTATTTATTTGTCGGAGACAAAGCCAACGCTTCCGGAAATCATTTCGGGGGCCGGCCGGCGGCGGGTCGGCTGCTGCGCGCCGGCCTCTCGCGAGGGAAGTCGCTCGGCAGCGCGCCGCTCCCGCGCCATCGCGCCGGCCAGGGAGAAACAGCATTCTCAACGAGCACAAACTTGCACAGTGCAGCGATCTCTCGCTCCGTTCACCAGGGCAAAATGGAAATAAATGAAGTATTATATTGGGTTTTTAACGCAGAGTTAAATCTCGGACTCGACAATGTGGACGGGTCAAGCTGTTCTCTCTGCGCTTCTACGAGCAATGCAGTTTATATTAATCAATCTATTTCTGAGTTTCCTGGAGACAAGGAGTATGAATTTAAACGTCGACATTTTTATTCTCCAGTACTAACATAAATATCAAAAAAAGAGTGTCCCGAAAATATGGTGTGCATCAACTGGCTGGCAATACAGTAACAGGAGGCTGGAAGTTAGTTTTCAGAACGTGATTTGGAACAGAGAATTTCGGAGGTTCAATGAAGGTAAAACTATTTTCTCTAAAAACAATGAAATAGATATTTCATTCCACCAAAATTGAAACGCATCCGAACTTTGTAACTCGTGAAACGCTTTTCTGAGCCAGCCACTGTGCGGCAGCGGCGGCGACCGCGCGGCCCCACCGC